TCCTGTCTTAGGCTGTCTCTCCACTCCATATGGAGGAGCAACAGAGACACCATTGAACAACAGCATCTTGGAAGAGGATATTGTTAGGCGAACAGATTTAGATGGACTTAACATTTTGAAGCTGAACTTCAGCTAACCCTTTTTAAGAAGTTGCAGCAACAGGTTTTTTTCATCCTTTTTGGGATAAAGGTTTTACATAAATGAATAAATCTGACCATTGTAAACACCTCTGTCAGTGTTAAATGGTTTGTCTCAACCCTCTAACAGCTACTTTGGACAGCTTGGTCTGCTAAAAGATAAATTCACTTTTGGAACATGTTACATGCTCAACCCATTTTTAGGGTGGAACATGTTGCATATTCCAGTATTGGCACCCTCTCCCCCCAATTCCCCCTCTCTGTGACAGTGATGGGGGATCACCATTCACCAGCTTTCCCAATTAAAACTAAAAATTAAAAACTACAAATTGATAGACTGATGAGTCATTGTGGCTGACAGCTTGTAGTTCTCAATGAACTACTAGGGTGCTGGTGAGCAGCATCATAGTTAATTGATCTTCCTGCTCTCAGATAACTGCCTGCCCATACAAGATACGGGCAGACAACTATCCTGAGAGTATGTAGGAGCCTGACATTGCACCCGTGATCTGCTGATCACGGTGCAATACTCTGAAGGCTCCTCAGAAAGAAAATTTACCTGCAGAATAATGTGCATTTATTTATTTATTTTCAAAAGGTGAACTTAGCCTTTAAAGCTTTAAAACCTCCTACTGGAAATCCCTAGTCAGTGGTTCAACCTACTTCAGAACATGACAGTGCATATTTAAATTAATTAAAATTAAACAAGCCTGTGGGTTTGAGTTTGTACTTGGACACAGAATTGGTTTTGTATAAGCTGTTTTGTGCTCGGATTGTTCTGAAGGAGCAGTCATTGAAACCTGCTACTCTTCAATGAGACCTGGAGCATTTGCTGTACAGTCATTAAACTACAGTGCCTTGAATAATTATTCATACTCCTTGAAATTTTCCACATTTTTGTCATGTTACAACCAAAAACGTAAATGTATTTTATTTGAATTTTATGTGATAGACCATCGCAAAGTGGCACATGTAACAGCGTATACCCAGAGACTGACGCAGTCCTCCATTTTGTTAGGAACCGCCATCTTGGCAAAGGGGTTAACCATCCTGACAAACATATTTCCCCCTCATTCTCCCCCTCCCTTTCTGAGAGTCACAGCGACATTTGGCCAGTGTGTGTGTGTGATAGGAGTGTCAGAGTAGGCCAGGGCCCAGCAGGGGGCTAGGAGCTATAAAGTCCCCAAGGGAGCCAGGGCCTAGCTGTCTGAAGAACCTGTAAATTGTAACACCTCATATAAGATAAGGCAAGCTTTCTCCAGAGTTCAAGAGATTCCAAGGAAGGCGGGACCAGCTAAACACTTTTAAAAATCCATTTTTCCCCTATGTCTCATATCTTGGAATATGAGACTTACATAAAAACTAGACATATCGTCAGATTGGCTAAGAGAAGACGAACAATTTGATAGGTCACTCGCCTTGTCTCGAATACATAGGAAAGCCGAAAAATAGATCTTGTGAACCGTTCAGTGTATAATTTCATAATTCAGATCTAATCATTCCTCAGACGTGTGTGCATAATAATCTACCCACGGGTGGAATGTCACTTGTGCATAGGAAGAGTTATGAGCCAAAATATGAACTACACGAGATTTTGGCTCTAGTTTAGGTCCACGCCCTAAACGGGGTATTGGTCCTTGACTTCAGAGACACCCCCTGCTGGGGAACTACAAATTTAGGCTGTCAGGCCTAAGAAAAAAAAAGTTGAAGACGTCTCCCATTTTAACATCAGTACCACCTGGGGAGACCCGAGCCCTTTCGCTCTGAAACTTGGAAATGCTAACCTCAGGACTTTGGCAAGTACCTTAACACTTTCACCTCTCTCTGATATCTCTTTGCTGTGCTGTTAGTCTCGTGTGTGTGTGTGTGTGTATATATATATATATATATATATATATATATATATATATATATATATATCTTAGTTACATCTTTTCTGTAAATATTTTTTTATTGCACCCGTTTGACCTTTTAGTAATAAATCTTTCCTTCTGAAAGTGTTGAACTGTTTCTATAGCGCTTTATTGCAATTTACGAATTCCTGCCTCTAAAAAGAACGCTACTGTGTTTGTTTAACCCTCTGTATAACCGTGTTATACAGACAATTACCTCAACCATTATAGTGTTATAACTGATATCGCCGAGTTTCCTCTTTCTCTGTACAAAAATGGTGGTGGTGGCAGTGTGAAGGGTTAATTGCGTAATTAACCTGACCCAGTAACAAACACTCAGGCTGCCGGTACATCGATTGTGGTCCAATTAGCTGGAAAATCGTTGTGCAGGGTGCAGCTGGGTGTGGCATTGTTACACACGTGACATCGCGGTTTTAGATCGGCTAGTCCTTCGGTCACGAGTTTGGTGAGAAGGGCTGGGGTCTGACGCCGCGATCGTGACAGCACAGAATTGTGAAGTGGAAGGAAAATGATAAATGGTTTTCAAAATTTGTTACAAATATCTGAGAAGTGTGGCATGCATTTGCCAGACCCCGCACTGACTCTGCCCTGTAAAACACAACATTTTGCAGTGTGGGTCAGTGTGACCATACCCTTAAAGTACAGTGCCTTGAAAAAGTATTCATACCCCTTGAAAGTTTCCACTTTTTGTCATGTTACAAACAAAAATGTAAATGTATTTTATTGAGATTTTATGTGATAGACCAACACAAAGTGGCACATAATTGTGAAGTGGAAAGAAAAAGATAAATGGTTTGCAATTTTTTTTACAAATAAATATGTGAAAAGTGTGGCGTGCATTTGTATTCAGCCCCCAGTCAATACTTTGTAGAACCACCTTTCACTGCAATTACAGCTGCAAGTCTTTTTGGGGATGTCTCTACCCGCTTTGCACATCTAGAGAGTGACATTTTTGCCCATTCTTCTTTGCAAAATATCTCAAGCTCTGTCAGATTGGATGGAGAGCGCCTGTGAATAGCAATTTTCAAGTCTTGCCAAAGATTCTCAATTGGATTTAGGTCTGGACTTTGACTGGGCCATTCTAAATCATGAATGTGCTTTGATCTAAAACATTCCATTGTAGCTCTGGCTGTATGTTTAGGGTCCTTGTCCTGATGGAAGGTGAACCTCCTACCCCAGTCTCAAGTCTTTTGCAGACTCTAACAGGTTTTCTTCTAAGATTGCCCCGTATTTGGCTCCATCCATCTTCCCATCAACACTGACCAGCTTCCCTGTCCCTGAAGAAAAGCATCCCCACAACATGATGCTGCCATCACCATGTTTCATGGTGGGGATGGTGTGTTCAGGGTAATGTGCACTGTTAGTTTTCCACCTCGCATAGCATTTTGCTTTTAGACAAAAAAGTTAAATTTTTTGTTCTCATCTGACCGGAGCACTTTCTTCCACATGTTTGCTGTGTCCCCCACATGGCCTCTCACAATCTTTAAACGGGCTGCTTATGGCTTTCTTTTAGCAATGGCTTTCTACTTGCCACTCTTCCATAAAGGACAGATTTTTGGAGTGTACGACTAATAGTTGTCCTGTAGACAGATTCTCCCTCCTGAACTATGGATCTCTACAGCTCTTTCAGAGTTACCATGGGCCTCTTGGCTGCTTCTCTGATTAATGTTGTCCTTGCCCAGCCTGTCAGTTTAGGTGAACGTCCATGTCTTGGTAGGTTTGCAATTGTGCCATACTCATTCTATTTTCGGATGATGGATTGAACAGTGCTCTGTGAGATGTTCAAAGATTAGGATATTTTTATGTAACCCAACTCTGTTTTAAACTTCTCCACAACTTTATCCCTGACCTGTCTGGTGTGTTCCTTGGCTTTCATGATGCTGTTTGTTCACTAATGTTCTTTAACAAACCTCTGAGGGCTTCACAGAACAGCTGTATTTATACTGAGATTAAATTACACACAGGTGGACTATTTACTAATTAGGTGACTTTTGAAGGCAGTTGGTTCTACTAGATTTTAGTTAGGGGTATCAGAGTAAAAGGGAGCTGAATACAAATGCACGCCACACTTTTCAGATATTTATTTGTAAAGAATTTTGAAAACCATTTATCATTTTCCTTCCACTTCACAATTATATGCCACTTTGTGTTGCTCTATCGCACAAAATCCCAATAAAGTACATAGGCTGGGGTAAACAAAGGTGGCGGCTGCTGACACTGCATGAGAAATTATACCACCACGCTTCCCCTTATCTTGCTTGCCTTCCCTTCCATGTGCAAAATTAGCTGTCCCTCTCTCTTTGCAGATGCATACTTGCCTTAGTCTAGCAGCCAAGGCCCCCAGTATTAGTTTATATCCTGTTACAAAAGTCTGCATAGTAGCTTCCCTCGACTTGTCCTCCCTAGCATAATTATTTTTGCCTGAATTCTATTTTAACAGCTGAAACTAGGCATTGTTAGACTAGAAAATCCGGTATGGCTATTTCAGATTTGTTCTTGCAAGCATTTATTGACAAAGACAGTGATCTTCTTTGAGCATGTGGTAATCTGTACTGTAACCACCTAGATTTGGCTACAACTATTCCTCCACTGCAGACCTACCATCACTTTGCCCAGAATGTTTACACTTAATTTAAAAAATATTGTTTGTCTAAGAAAAGTCTGAAACTAGATGAGCTTCTCCACTGTATGTTAGTATGTGGTAAGGCGTGTGTGTGTGTGTGTGTGTGTGTGTGTGTGTGTGTGCGTGCGTGTGCGCGTGTACACTTTATTTTGTTGTGCTAAGACATATTGATGTTCCTTCATTTTAGAACAAATTCCAATTTAAAAAGGAACATCAAGCTTGATGTCTGTGAGGCATATGATGTTATTCTTTCCCTATAGGTGTGATTCTTTAACCTCTGTGTCCCATGTCTATATAATTAACGCCATTGTTGCTCATTGTTTTCAGGTGTCTGCTACTTTTGCTGCCAGCCTGGTAACTAGTCCAGCAATTGGTGCCTACTTGGCTCGAGCATACAGCGACACTCTGGTGGTAGTATTGGCCTCAGGAGTGGCACTTCTGGATATAGGATTCATCCTAATTGCTGTTCCTGAGTCGCTTCCAGAAGAAATGCGTCCAGTTTCCTGGGGAGCACCTATATCTTGGGAACAAGCAGATCCCTTTGCGGTAAGAAATATGTCGCTTCATAGGGGCACTTCTATGATTCTGTAAGGAACTGCAATTTGTTTAAGAGTAAGCAGTTGTACCACTTCAAGGGATTTTGGTAATATATATCATAGGCAACGGCTAGGATTTTCTGATTCCTAAATAATGAATTTTGGTTAATTGGTTAACAAAATAGTAAAAATAAGTGAATTGAAATTTGCAGATGAAATTTTATTAGGAAAAAAAAATGTCTGAAGAAATGGCTTGTTGTTGTCAGTGCCTCATTCTACATAAAATTAATATTTTTGTAAAGAAGCCTGCTATTTGTTTTTCAAAAGGAATGCATAGAGCTCAGACAGCTCTTGTTTTGCAATAAAAATCAATCACATAAAGTTCATAAACCTTCTGCATAGTTTACATCACCACGGGAAACATTTTTCACCACCACGAGCAGCTCAGCTTATAATTTTGTCCTGGTCATTATTATTATATTCTTAAAAAAAAAAAAATATATATATATATATATATATATATATATATTATTATTATTATTATTCGGTCATACTGTGCCTGTCCATTTTAAGAGGAATGCTTTGCTGTATCAGATAGTTAGGGTAGTTAGTGATACTCCAAAATCTCAGAGAATGGTACCCAGAATACAATTAAACAAACGTAGTGTTTTCCATAAGAAAACACAAATTGTTCATAAATAACAGATAAAAAATACACTCGCATTATATGCACATTCCTGGCACACTACAGTTATAATGCTTTTTAAATAGCCCTGAAGTGCCCTGAGTAATGTTTTATAATAGAGGCTGCAGCTTGTGGACATGTATCAATCACTTTATCAAATCTCTTGCTACTGTCCCCAATAACATCGGAGGATACAGTACACCATGGATTGTGGTACTTGGCATTACCATGCTTTAATCCCAACTCTAACTAAAATATTCTGTAGCAATAGATTGGAGACGGGTTAGAATTGCTGTCAGGTCTGTCTGATTTTTTTTTTTTTTTTTTTTTGCTAGCTTTGAAATGTCCTTATACAGAAAAGTTTTACTCTTAGCCCTTTGTCTCATAACCATCATTGGGACAGGAAATAAGGGGAAATCTCCCTTTATAGTGACACAAACAGAAATGAAATTCTGTTAAGGTTCTACACTATTCATTACTCCTTCAGCAAAACATTTTTTTTTCCTAGAAGTTGAGCTTTAAATAGCAAAAAGTAAAATCACATTTCTATGAGAACTACAGTAGCTTGAATAAATTGCAGTGGCTGTAATTGTAGACTAAATATTACCCATGTAAAATAACCCTTGGAGGCCCCTTAGGACTAGAGTTGGAAATTGTGCTCTGAGGCTTAATAAAGGTTCTCGGAATTAGTCATAACTGCATCAGGGGGCAAATAGGGACTATACAGATCTCATGTAATGTTTTCCTTGTTTATAACACAGTCAGCTTTTTGGCGAGAAGTAAAAAATGGACATGACATCTGTGATGGATTGGGGGAATATACAAATATGCAGACAGATATCGGGATTGGGTTGCCAAAAGGATGTACTTGTTAGAGTTACACTTCCGCCTATTCTGTTTAGATTTGTGAAAGTTTCCTGGCGCCTTGGTAAGGGTTTCATGTGTGCTGCATGTCACAAGCTTTGCTGATGTCCGTGAAATTGTATTTGAGCTTTAAGCTGAAAATTCATATTCGCTATGTTAGTGAGCGTTCCTTAAACCGATTTTCTATTTTAAGTATGCCAATTCCTACATACATGTTTATAATGGTATTAATTAATAGTAGATAATTCTCATTAAGGTTCACTTCTTAAGCATGCTTTCAAAGATTGAAACAACATACTGCATTTTTACCATGAAAAAACTATGGTATAACACAAGGTGGTTCTGAAGTATTTTCCTAAGAGACATATCTAATATAATTTGTGTATTTTCTTTTCACAGTCGTTGCGAAAGGTTGGCCAGGATTCTACAGTCCTCCTCATCTGTATAACTGTCTTTCTGTCTTACCTTCCTGAAGCTGGGCAATACTCAAGTTTTTTTCTCTACTTGAGACAGGTAAGCATAAAAATTCCAGATTACTAAAAATGTGTTTTTTATTCCACGCAAATGTGCTTCAATTTTTATATTAAGATTGTCGCATCTAGAAAGTTAGTTCATGAGAAATTGGATACGTCACCCAGACAAGACTATTACAGACTATTGTCTGAATTAGTCCAGAGACCAACAGATAATATCAGTCATAATGAAGAGCTTGTAAAATTCTTTATTAACTGTTAATAAGAATCTTTAAATTAGAACAGTAAATATATTTCAAATGATGCTGGTTCTCCTATCTTTTTCTTAACAGGTGATTGGCTTTTCCTCAGAAACTGTGGCTACATTTATTGGCGTTGTTGGAATATTGTCTATTTTAGCTCAGGTGAGTTTTGATATTTCCCCCAGTTCTCTCCTTCTGGATGTTGTCAATCATTGCATTTGGATAAAACTACCAGCAGTGCCTCTACCTATATGATATGTTGAGAGTGAGCTGTACAGTATATAGTAGGAGCCCATATTTTAGCCCTGACATTTGTTGTGTTCTTTCACTGTCTGGACATAAGCATTACTAACAAAACTTAGAGCTCTAACATTAATGTTCAAGGCTAAATTGTTTACTTATAATTATTAGGTTTTTTTTTGTTATGAAAAAACTGTATCTTATGGTATCCTCTGTTCTGTCTCCAGACTGTGGTGTTGGGTGTTCTCATGAGATCTATCGGTAATAAGAATACTATTCTCCTTGGGCTTGGCTTTCAGATCCTGCAGTTAGCTTGGTATGGCTTTGGCTCTCAGCAGTGGTGAGTGATAACAGATTATGTTTGTGGAAATCAGCTGAAATATACAATCAAAATGCATCTCTCCTGTATTGGATATATAGAGTAAATCAATCTTTTGCTTATGTATGCAAAGTATTTGATTTTTTTTTTTTTTTTTTTTTTTTAATCAAACTGCTTTTTATTAAAAGAGAAATTTAAAAGATAAAGACAGTGTAATAAACACCATTACAAAGTAATACAAAACAAAGGATGATTCCCATGTACATTAACGAAGATACGGAAATTATGACAATGAGCTGTTACGTTCTCCTATAAAATGGAGAAGCAGAAGACAACATAGCATGTAATGACTATATCCATATATATCAAAAAATGCATTTTCATTTGGACAGTCAGTAATAATGGCTAGTGATAGATGACTATAGTGTTCACATCATTATAAGGTAAGTATATGTGAATAATAATGCAACAAACACATAGCAATGAAAATTACACAGTTACAGATTCATCATCTATGCATTTAGAGACTTGTTCAAGCCATCTGTCCCAAATCTTATGATATTTAGCAGAGTAGCATCTATGAAGATAAATTACTTTCTTATATGGTAATGTATGGTTAATGGTGGCCACCCATTCCTAGACTGTTGGTGATGATGCACTGAGCCATAGTTACATAGTTAGTCTGGCTGAAAAAAGACAAAAGTCCATCCAGTTCAACCATTAAAAAAAAAAAGTTATAATCCTATACCCACAGTTGATCCAGAGGAAGGCAAAAAGACCCATCTAAGCCCGATCCAATTTGCTCCTGCAGGGAAAAGAATTCCTTTCTGATCCCGCAAGAGGCAATCTGATATTCACTGGATTAACTTTACTTATAAATGTTAGTATCCAGTTATATTCTGTGTATCTAGGAAAGAATCCAGCCGTTTTTTAAAGCAATCCACGGAGCTGGCCAAAATCAACTCTTGAGGTAGTCTATTCCACATTTCACAGCTCTCAATGTGAAGAAACCTTTCCGTGTTTGGAGATTAAACGTCTTTTCCTCCAGACTTAAAGAGTGCCCCCTTGTCCTCTGTGATAAACTCAGGGCGAATAGCTCTACACCGAGTTTACTATATGAACCACTGATGTATTTATACATGTTGATTATATCCCCCCTTAATCTCCTCTTCTCAAGAGAGAATAAATTCAGTTCCTCTAATCTTTCCTCATAGCTGAGCTCCTCCATTCCTCGTATCAGTTTAGTTGCCCTTCTCTGCACTTTCTCCAGTTCCCCAATGTTCTTTTTGTGAATTGGTGCCCAAAACTGAACTGCATATTCCAGATGAGGTATTACTAATGATTTGTATAGGGGTAATATGATATCTCTCTCTTTGGAGTCTATACCTCTTTTAATACAAGAGAGGATTTTGCTCGCTTTAGAAACCGCAGCTTGGCAATGCATGCCATTATTATTAGCTTGTGATCTACCAGAACCCCCAGGTCATTCTCCACCATTGATTCCCCCAATTGTACCCCCCCAGTATGTATGATGATGATATGCTAGTCATGCCCTGGCAATTAGCATTCTGGCCATAATAAGTGTTTCTTGTAGAAAAATGTGGGGATGTTTGTCACTATCTGGATTGGGAAAGAGGCCCAGAAGGCACTATTGTGGCAGAAGGTTAGCGGGGAGCCCATTCATTCATACAGTAATTGTACCACCTGTGTCCAGTAGCTTTGAATAACTGGGCACGCCTATAGCAAATAGTAGAAGGTGGCACCAGACTCGTCACATATGGGACTGAGAGGGCTATGATGTGGCCAGAATCTAGATAAACAGATGGGAGTTGGGTACGACCCATGTAGAAGTGGGTGAGACCTATCAGAAAGTTTTGGGGAAACAAGCTTGTAGGAGTCCAGTACCTCATCCCAGTCAAAGTATTTTTTTTTTTTTTTTTGTATTACTAGCCCTTATAGGGACACAGGAATTCAGTTACAGATGGGTTATACTGCTAACTACAGGATGTTTGGACATTGGCAATCAGAAAAATTCTAAACCAGCCCCTACATTACCCCTTTTCTACCACCAGTATGTCTCAGTTTTTTCTAGTGTTTTGGGGGTGGAGATGGACACCTTTTATTCAACACTACTGCAGCAATATCTTAACCATTTTTTGCCATCCTCCTTTGTTTCAATACATTTTTAATTTAAGACTTCAGTCTAAATATAGCAGCTATCTGGATCAGCTTTTCTTCAGCACTAGCTTTTGAGGCTATATATGTAGCCTTCTGTACTGGGCTTGTGGAGCTAGCCTGGAATATAATCTTCAGGAAATGGGCTCTGCATTGTGGTGCTTTTCAAGACAGACTGTACTGTGTTCGCTGCAAAAAGCTTTCCAGGTCCAAAGCTGTGCCACAGCCCCAGATGTAACCCTTTCTGTCTGCAGACTCACTTATTAAGTACGGCCGGTTGGGATGAAACATCAGGTGCCACCTCACTGTTTGCACTACTGGGCTTTGGACTGCTTTTTCAAATTTCCAACCATCACAGTAAACGTCAATGCTGAGGAGACCAAGTGATTATGACATATGATGGGTGGAAAGCCTTATTCACTCTACATTCTTTTCTGCCATGTATCCTGGAGGAGGCACCACCTCACTGTAGTCTGGAATCTTGTTATAGGGTCAACATCATTGGAGTCTTCCTCAGCTCTGTTGGGTGAGGCCAGATTCTCTGTCATGCCACATGGAACTCAATGTCCACTCTTGTCTTTTTAGCTGTTTGTGCTCAGCTGTTGGTGCATTCTGGTGCTTCTCTTTGCAGAATTGGTCTCTGGCCTTCCTGGGCTCTTAACTCAAGCAGCACCTGTGGTCCTTGTTACTCACCTTTGCTACGCCAGTGCCCACCTTAACAGGAATACCACCACTAAAATTGTTCAGGGTTTGCTCACCTTTTTAGGATTTCACTGACAGGTAAGATAGAGTCCCTCAAATCCCATTTTGAATTGACTTGGCTTTTGCTGTCTCACATGTTGGCAGTAACCTTGAACTGATGAACAGCCAGAAAGGATAGATTCACTCAAAAGGGGTCACTCCTCTGCTTAGGTAGGTCCCCACTGCATACTGCTATTTGTGCAAGTGTCTTGAGCCTTGTGCCTTTGTTATGGCTGGTTACATTCTTCCAAACTTATGTCTCACATAGGACTAATCTCTGTGCAAATGCTGAGAGCACTCTGAATGCATAACTGGGACACTTGAGTCAGTATGTAAGGAGTATCTGATGTTGATAACCTTCAAGGGCTTCAGACCTGTCCTTGACACCATGATTAGCAGTGTCACGGGTGACCAGAGTGTGCTTCTGCCTCAAAACAGGAGGTCATTCGAGGGGTTGGAGGTATATGTTCATATACTTTGATAGTAGTTTCTAGTAGGCCTGTTGGGCCTTTTGAACCTAACTCCCAAGAACACCATAGGGCTCAAAGTCAGAGATAAGCTACCTCTCTGAAAAGCCTTGTGCATCAAGGTGTGCCTTCGTTTCTACAAATCTGGATGCATTTTGTACATCCAGGCAGGTCCTTGGGCCTGTTTGCCTCAATGACATATTGGTGCTGAGGACACCCCTTTTAGCCCACAGGCTCCTTGTATCTGGCACCTCCTTCAGTTGCCCCTCATTGGACTTTGAAGTTTGTGTTTACCCTAGTGCCCTTTCCTGGTATTGCCATTGTGGGGTGCTTAGATTATGTTCCTTGAAGAGGGTCAGCTTTTTGGGCCCTTGCATTCAGAACCCTTCTGAAAGGCTTAACACCTGCAAGGTGCTGCCTCACAGATGGCTATTGTTGGTAACTATTGGTCACCAAAGAGCGAGGCTTCAACTTAACCTTTACTGTAACAGTATCAACCCTTTGTGTTATTGAACCCATCATTATCTGTCAGGAAATTTCTTCTTCCCCTTCAGTGGTCTGTAGGACCTTTTATTGATGGGAGCCTATGCTGGGGGTGAGACATCCAAATGGTCAATATTGAACAAGAAGTCCCTGGTGTGTCCCATCAGTCTCTTTTGGGTGAATAGGGTGGTCTCTTCTCAGTCGATTGGATGTTTCTTTACCTTGGGTCTCAGTTCGATTGCCCAGAACACAGGCCCCTCCTCTCATGGTGAGTTGCTTTTCTGGAATTGGACTCTCCTGAATATAACCGATGTTTTGCAGAACCCTCACCTTCAGGAAGGTTTTGGTGTCCTCCCTGGGACAGAACAAGTGGCCTGGTCCCTACACTGCATGACACTGAGAATACTTCTCTCAACTTCACAATCTTCCTTGGAGTCACGGCATTTACATCTAGCTTTCCTCAACTGATGGTGTCCACACCAAAGAGCGCGGTTTGCACACTTGGGTGCTCATGGACTCCTGTTTGGCAGGCAGAAGTCATCGCTAGAGGCTCGGTGCCGCCCTGGATTGTCAGCAGGCAAAACACACTGGGTTTCTGCAGCAAGTACCCCCTGTTGAGGATAATGTACATTCTGAGGCTGTTGTGGAACCTGATAACTTGAAGATGGGTCTTCTTCTGTGGCTGATCCGCAACCCCTTGAGGACGTTTCTCCCTAAATCGGTGAATGATGTTAGCAGTTTGGTTGTTTCCTTCATCTTGCTGCAGAACTATGGATACTTTGCTGGCCCAGGCAAGTCAGGAGATTCCTAGAACCATGTTCTCTGCTTAAGGTTAGGCTCATTCTGCAAAGTTTTTCTGTCAGACCCCTTGGGAGGGGGGGGGGGGTTAATGTGGATGGTTTTGCTCATCCTCTTGTTCCTTTGGTGTTCCCTCATACCAGTGTAGGGTTGTGATACACTTTTCCTTCTTGCTAACATTTTTAGGGGTATCTTTTAATTCACTGCATCCTCCCTTTTTTTTTTTTCTGTTATCAAGCTCACTTCAGATATAGCATCCCTGAGTTCTCAAACGGTCTTAGGGTTACTTTGATATCCTTTTGGATTATTGTGTGATCATGTTTCCTCACATTTTTTTGATTCTTTATATTTGCAAGACAAATTGCTTGGCCAGGCAACTTCATTCTTATTATTGTAAGGCTTGGGCCTTCACATGTAGATGGTCTTGTTGTTTTGGACTTGTTGTTTTTGTCCAAGGTTTCCTCTAAGTACATGTTCACCTGGGGACTTATTACTTTTTTTTTTTCTGTTGACCACATCTTGTTTTTTGTTTCAAAGCTTCTTGCTGGTTTAGGGGCTGTGTTTCTTCGGGTGGAGTCATATTCTTCTTGGCAGTGATCTCTTCTGTCCTGGTATTCAGAATCATGTTGATTCTCTGTGGACTTCCCTTCATTGTTGACAGCTTCCTCTGTCTTGCAGGGGCTTCTCATCTAACTCAGGCATTGGTCCTTCAGGTAATTTTAAGTTGTAGATGGTTCACAGCCTGTCAGTGGCTGTTCCCCTCCCTTCAGTTGAATTGCTTTTGGATTTCCCAACTGCATCTGAATTCCTGTGTCCCTCAATGGAAAAGAAAGAGAAAGTAAACTTCCTGTAAGCAGTAATATAACCTGACAGGATCTGAATTCTTGTTTCTGCCGATGAACTCCAAGAAATAGATTTTATGGTAAATAAGAAAACCTTATTTTTTTCATTCTGTAACTATATGCACTGGTGTGCTTTTACAGCATATCATTATCTTCATAGATCCATTATATCCTTACAGTTTAATTTGAATGTTCATGTTCATGCTTGTTGTAGTGAGCTGATGTTCAACTGTATTTCTATTGAACCCCAACATGCATCCACACAGTAAACAGCAGATCTTAACCTCAACATACCACAACACCTACAACAAATATACACATGTACTAAGTTTGGGGGGGAGGTCAGGTACAAGTGGAACTGAACTAAAAAAAATTACCGTGGTTTAGGGAAAATGTAAAAATGTACCTTTTTCTTGTCTGGAAATCTTCCTGAAAAATAGGAGTGTGCTTCCTGATATGTGAGGGTGTGTAGGCACTCATGTGTCTGCAGCCTCATAGCTGTATATGTGCCTTGTGATTCTCAGACACTGCTGCCTCCAGCTTCTAGTCTTAGGTGATTTGGAATGAGGGGAACAAGACTGGTAGAACTTTGATAAGAGCCCTTAGTGAGATAAAAGAGAGAGCTTAGAGATAGCAGGATGTTTCTTAGAATTTTACCATGACCTATACAATTGATCCCCATCGGCACAGAGCACTACACCGCTAAAAAAAAATCAGACAAAATCAGTCAATATCTGCCTAAATCTCGCTTTCTTCCAATGTATGGCAAAACTAGCTGGAGTTATAGAATCCATAGCTCATAAAGCCCCTGAGTAGGATAGTTTCAGTTTTTTTCTACTAAAGGTTATTCCATCAACTTTTGACACACCATTTTGTAAGGGCTGTCAACGCGGTCCTTGACAATCAGCATTTTCCTGTAAATACACCAGTGGCTATCATTACAGTAATTTTCAAAGAAATGGAAAGACCCAATGCTAAAATTATTTGCAAAACTCCAGAGTAGATTTCTTCTATTGATCCAACAGATTTCTCACAATGACCAAATGGGCTTTGTCCCTAGTAGAGAGGCAGAAGATGCTTTCAACATGATGCACTTAGCTCACCACACTGCTTCTCTTGACCAACTCTAAAAAAGCCTTTCATCAAGTTGATTGGACCTTTGTGAAAGAAGCATTGCAAGTACTTGGAGTGGGGGTATATATCTAGAAATTCTCAACCTTCTGCTGTTGTGAAAATCAATGATGTCACATCAGACCACTTTGCATTCTGCAACGGTACAATGCAGGGTTGCCCGTTCTTTGCCCTCATGTTTATTATAAAGCTAGAGCCCCTACTGTGCCATTTTGGATCTTTTGTGGGACCAAGTAAAAATGCATCACCTCCTTAACCCTTTTTCTGTCAGAGCCATTTTTTCACACATGCTAAATTGCATATTTTAGGCCTGCAGATTGTGTAAAACCCCAAAATCATGTTTTCTGAAAGCAGAACCCTGGTGGTAGTTGCAATTTCCGCACTTATTAGCAAAACTCTCTCAAACCCATATTAACCCATAATAATTTTTTGGGTAAAAAAATAAGAGGAGATTGTTTTTGGGTAAAAAAAATAAGAGGAGATTGTGTTGAGCAAATAGATATCAGACATGTTAAACCCTACATTTTGTGTAACATCATGAAACCGTGACAAGCTTTGGTCCCCAGTTAGTCCTTAGGTGATGCTGAGCCTTTTTTGGTCTTCAATCTAAAATTAACTGTGAATGATGGTCCTAAAATTTTCCTGCTTGATTAGCTTCTTCCTTGGCAACAGCAGCCTGGGACTGACTGCTCTAAACCTGCAAGTGATTAAATGCTCAAGGTGGCTTCAGTGGCAGCACAGGAGCAGCTTAGTGATCAAAATTTCTGCCTTGCAGCACTAGGGTCCCAAATAGGACACTATCTGCATTGAATTTGAATGTTTTCCCTGTGCTTGTGTGTTTTTGTTTGTTTTTTTTCTCCAGGTACTCCTGTTTCCCATAAATGCCAAAGACGTGCTGGTAGGTTAATTGGCTCACTTCGCTTTGAGTCCCCAGGGAGAAAAATGCTATAGAAAAACAAATTGAATTAAAACTACAAAAAAGAACAATTCAACAAAATATGGTTTTACTGGATAGACATTACCTATACACCTGAATGCTACACTCATGGCAAACCTATAAGCTTTCTCCCTATGGGCAAGACTGGATTCAAAGCTCATTATACCTTAAAGTGTACTGTCCTCTCAGGTACCTCATCTTGAGGGTAAAATCCATATCTACATGTGTTTGCTTGTGCGCATAGAGACATCCCCAACCTCCTTTCTCAAATTTTGGGTTGTTCACAGAACAGTAATAGAGGAGAAATTTTCCAATGGGGCCCCAGGGGACTCCTTTAATTTGCAGGGATTTCCTCTCCTTTCCTGTTTTGGCTGTGGGACAAGAAGTGAAGGTAAACCTCCCCAATGAGCCGTACTGTATCCAAAATGAAAAACTTTTCAACTTTAAGGCAAACACCATGCACTTTGCAACTTACTCTAGAGCTTAGTAAATGAGGTAAAGCTTCACTTTACAAAGAATACTCAATTAAATTCAAGAAAAGTTTAAAAAGCTGCATTTTTGCTTGCACATGATTGGATGATAGGAGTCAGCAGAGCTTCCCTTCTTTACAAAACCGTAGAGCAGCTGCACTTGGAAAGTGCTCAATCTATGTTCCTTCAGTAAATACACAGCATTACATGTAGTAAAATCAATCTGTTCTCTCCATTTTGCCAGAATTCGACAAATACCTTTTTGTGTATACACAAGCATATACATCGTTTTCTGCCAAAAAACCTCCCAATTGCTCCAAACATAATGCAACCAACGTACATGTATATCACAATGGTCCAATCCCTTGTTAGAACATATGTCATATGTAGTGGGGATACTTTACGTTTTCATAATTATTTTTAGAGATGTCTTCGCACTCACAAGTTCCCACTGACATCATTTATCTTTTTAGCCATCTATAAGGGATTAATTCTTCCTAGTGATCACAAGTGTAAGGAGCATTTTTCCTGCTATCTCACTAATGTGTCATGAGTTCTAGATATAGTAATTTTTAGCAGGAGTTCCCTGATACTGGAAAGTTATTTCAGTGGTTACTCTGTGTTGAAAAGGTTGAGAAAACGGCTTGAAAGTGAAACTAAAGGCAAAACTTTCTTTTTCATTTTGGATAGTGTAATGGAGGGTTAGAACCTGTCAGCTTTTTGTTTTTTTTTGTGGCCATCTGTGCCATCTAAGATTTACAGTCACTTACTGTCCCATTGCCAAAACAGGGAGTGGGAGGAAATTCATGCAAATTAAGAGAATCCATTGGAGTCCCCCAGATCACCAGAATCAATGTGCCCTCTATCACATTTCTGGGGACAGCCCAAAATTTGGCATTTTCTTTTAATTAAAATTTTCAGTGATAATGGTAAACAGGACAAATAGAGAGGGTAAATCTCCACCCTATCAAAATCTTTTAAAAAAGGGGTTTTTTTTAGTTATGCTTTAACCCCTTCCCATATAACTATTCCTACAGTGGTGATTGAGCACATAAAATACTTATAGGAAACCAGGAAGGGCTAAGTAATGTTTTGTTAAAATCGAAAGCATTTTAAAAATATATAAGCTGATTAATCCATGTACTAGTATGTGTTGGTTGTATGTAGGAGCTGGAATGCCAATCATGGCTCAAATTGTAACTTGTTTGCTGCTAGTGTACTTGTTGCTTTTATTAAAACATCGTTTTTAATGTTTCAGGATGATGTGGGCTGCAGGAGCAGTAGCTGCAATGTCAAGCATTACCTTCCCTGCTATTAGTGCTATAGTGTCACGCAATGCAGATCCTGACCAGCAGGGTGAGTTACTGAATTGTAGGCATGTGAAAATGGTGGGGTGACCCTCCATGAATAGGTACTGTTTATGTACACAGCAAAGAGATGTTTGGTTAGTGTTGTAGTCTGGTCTTTTTTATATAAAAAAAAAATGGGACCAAACATGATTGCTACTTAATCTCAGAAGTAGTTTTACTGAAAATTCTAAAATATTTGAAGCAACCCTTCCCATCCACAGTTTCCAAATGAATACAAGAAACTAATGTCCATTACATTCAAAAGTCAATTGCCAGACTCCCAGGAAGCTATATTGGGTCTAGGAGTTGAAAATTGCATTACATGTGTCAGGGCTTAAAAAGACCCTGACATCGCATTTTTTTTTTTTTTAAATCTACTAGTATCAGTTTTGCAATCTCAATAATATCCACTTACACTTGCCCTCACTGCTGATGCTGTCTGTGTAGAATTATCAGCTTATTTCACTGTAAACAGACACTTCCTGAAGAGCTGAAGCCTTCTACTTATGGGTTGCCTGCACTTCCCCTTAAGCAGCACAGTGAGGCTCCTGCTTATGAAAGGGCTGATTTTCCGGTCCATTCAGATATTTGGTGGAAGTGGGAAAAATACTGACGTCTGCAGGCAGACTGGAAGTACAAGGCTTACACTTTTAAGTCCTTTAACCACTTAACCCCCTGGAAGGTTTTCCCCCCTTCTTGACCAGACCATTTTTTGCTATTTGGCACTGCACTATTTCAATTGGTAATTGCACGATCATGCAACTTTGTACCCAAATGAAATTTAATTTATGTCCTTTTTTTATTTCAAACAAATAGAGCTTTATTTTTGGTTGTATTTGATCACTACTGGGTTTCTATTTTTTGTGATATAAACAAAAAAAAAAAAGAAAATTTTGAAAAAAAAAAAAATTTCTACTCTCTGTTATAAAAAATATCTAATAAGCACAAATGTTGTCATAAATTTATGCCAAAATGTATTTTCCTACATGTCTTTGGTAAAAAAACAAACCCAATACATGTATATTAACTGGTTTGTGTGAAAGGAATAGCATCTACAAACTATAGTGGAATTTACACAGCTTTTACTTTCTGACTGCATATCACCACATTTCTTGAAGTGCTAAAATGCCAAGGCAGTACATAACACCCTCCTATTCCTTCTGTACTGAAATGTATTGTAATTGTACTGTCTCCCTTATATTGTAAAGCGCTGCGCAAACTGTTGGCGATATATAAACCTGTATTATTATAATAACACCCCCCACCCCCCAAATGTCCCCTTTTTGGAATGTAGACACCCCAAGAAATTTGCTGAGAGGCATGGTGGGTCCATGGAAGATTCTATATATTGCCACAAGCTTTTCAAAAATGAAATTTTTTTTCTTTTTTGTATACAAATTGTCACTTAAGTGATATATTGCTCATGCATGTCATAGGTATATGTGGAATAACACTCAAAACACATTCTGCTACTTTTCCCGAGTATGGGGATACCACATGTGAGACACTCTTTGGCAGCCTAGCCACATACAGACCCCCAAAATCCAATGGCCACCTTTTGGGCTTTCAAAGGGCCTATTTCCTCATATCACTTCCCCATTACCTATAACTGTTTCAAAGGCCCTGAAATGCTAGGATAGTACTAACACCCCCCCAAGTTACCCCTTTTTGGAAAGTAGACACCCCAAGGAATTTGATATGAGTATTTTGCAGATATCATTTTTGTCACAGGGTTTTGAAAAAGCACAAAAAAAGAAAAAATAGATTTTCATTTTCTTTCTTCATTTTCCAAAAACTTGTTGCAACAAATGAGATCTGCAAAATACTCACCGTGCCCCTTAGCAAATACCTTGGAGTGTCTGCTTTCCAAAAAGGGGTCATTTGGAGGGGGTGCTTCTATTATCCTGGCATTGCAGTGCCAACATTATAAGCTTATGCCACACATCGCCCACTCTTCTAACCACTTAATGACCAAGTCTTTTTCTGACCTTTTTTTGTTTTCATGAAAACTTTTTTTTTTTTTTTTTTTGCTAGAAAATTTACTTTGAACCCTCAAACATATAAGTCCGGACACTTTTACCCCCTTCCTGTCCAGGCCAATTTTCATCTTTCAGCGCTATCACACTTTGAATGACAATTGCGCAGTCATGCAACACTGTACCCATATGAATTTTTTTAGCATTTTTTTTTGAGACAGATAAAGCTTTATTTTGGTGGTATGTATTCACCACTGGGATTTTTATTTTTTTTGCTATATAAATAAAAAAGTCCAAAAATTTTGAAAAAAGTGTTTTTCTTATAAGATTTTGCAAATAAATAATATTTAATCGTAAATCTTGGCCAAAATTTATTCAGTTATCTTTTTAGTAAAAAAACAAAAAACAAAATTAGTTTATAACCAAAAATTATAATTTTTTTAAAAAATGTTTTACATTTTTATTTTATTTTTTTATATTTTTTTTTTTTTTACATACTGTCACCCTAGCAGTACAGGTTCACCATGGTGACACTGCACTACTTGTGGGGGGTGATGAAGATTTTTTTTTTTTTTTTTTTTACACCCATAAAGGCTGTAAAAGCAATCATTTCTCCTTCTCTCTGGCTGCATTCTTGCAGCCATTGAGAAATATTGTGTGAGCTGTGATTGGTCACAGCTTGTCACATGGTACAAGGCTGTTGTGAATAGCCTTGTACCATGTGACCTCTGTGATCATTCACAGATTTCACACGTAGTAAGCAATGATGTCAGAAGTGACATCTTGCTTACTACTCTGCATGTGATCACTGATTGGCCAGTCAGTGATCACATGATCAGGACCTCGCACAGAGGTCCCTACAACGATCGGTGTTCCACTGTGTCCAGAGGACACAGCGGGCACCGGATCGCGGTGCTGCAAGGTCCCAGGGAGCGAGCACAGTCCAAAATGGCAGGTGCCGTTTATGAATGGCAACCCCCACCCCTGGACTGCCGCCGTCCGGCCGTTTATATACAGCGGCCGGACGGCAAGTGGTTAAAGCAAAGGCCCTGGAGAATAAAACAGTGGGTGTTGCAATTTTTTATGTCACAGTATTTCAAACGCAAATTTTTGGGGGGGGGAAAATACACTTTTTTTTTAATTTCAGTGCACAAAACCACAAAGTGCCCAATTGTTTGCTAAAATATAAAAGATTATGTTACTCTGAGTAAATAGACACCAGACTTGACATGCTTTAAAATTGCGCACAGCCACATAACAGCAACAAACCACATACATTTTTTAATATCCATTGGTGACGCTTTAAGAGCCTTTCCAGGTTACCACTTTAGATTTACACAGAAGGTCTAGTGCTAGAAATACTGCCCTCGATCTGACGTTCACATTGATACCTTGCATGCATGGTGCAACCTCTGTTTACTTACCGACACGGGGTGCAACACTTGCGTTTTGCCTTTGCACGTGGGAAGGGGGAAAGCGGGGGGTTTGATTTTTTTTTTTTTCCACTTTTATTGTTCTCACAGAGAATCTACATATCCTCTGTGATAGTAATAGACAGTGACAGGTACTCTTTTCTGAGAGATCTGGGGTCTATTAGACTCTAGATCTCTCCTCTGCTCTTAAAGCATCTGATCACACCAAGATCAGTGTGATCAGACACTTTCCGAATTTCAAAATGGCGCTGTTTATATCCAGCGAAACTAGAGTGATGAAATGCTCATGGCTTCCGGTTTCTTAGACCATAGAGATAATTGGAGCCATTCCGGTCTCCGATCAGCTCTATGGTCAGCCAGTGAAACTTCCGGCTGCATTCTCGGGTTTCCTGGTGGGATGTGGAAGGCGGCGAGCGGCTTCCCTTCCCCCTGCTTGTAAAAGCAATCCAGCTGTTAATTAGTCGCTAGGATTGCTTTTACATGAAAGCTGACTGCCAGTTGAAAAAAAACAATACCTTTCTGCAGGCATCATCCTGGAATAACCACTCAAAGTCAAGTGATGTACCAGTATGTTGTTGGTCCTTGTTGGGAATGTATGTAACCACAGAGAACATGGGCATATAATAAATTGGGTCTGTGGACCAATATGACCGCAATTCATTTATTTTTGTAATGCCCATGTTGAGGGTTAGGCTCAAAAATGTTTTAAATTCAGAAACCGTAATAGGTTTTCATGCGAATTGTATGGCAAGAGCTGAATTTGTGTGGGCGGCCTTGTGCGCATTGATTGCTTTGGCCCACAATCAATTGATACAAATCTTCTGAAAAACCACGGAGAGGCTGAATGCTAGTGCTGGCAGGATACAGGGCTGATCCTGCTAACACTGCGTTTTTGGGGATAGGAGGCATTTGGATAGTTCTGGTCATGATCAATGTATTGATCCATACAAACAGTATACTAGTATTGGGGGTGATCAGCGACCTATAGCATGAGTACGATAGTGTGTGGGCAATCTAATGCTAGCTGACCCTGGCTAGGAGGAGTGATAACTGACCCTGACGTTATCTGATGTCGCTACTGGCAATAATACAGTGATCAGTGAAAAATTATATATACTGACACTGTACTAATGGCACTGGCTGGATGACTGGGTGATCAAAGTGTTAAATATTCTAATCTCACACAAGTGTAAAAATGTAGTGCTTTTACTCACAGTGAGGTATTCTCTCTTCTCTCACTGGACGGATGGGGGGTGCTCACATTTGTGCTTACACTTGGAAATAGCTACATAAGGGTACTTCACTTTGCCCAGAGACGCCGCTTGCCTGCTCATCGGGGTGGCAAGTAGTTAAATAATACATTTTAAAAAACAAACTTTTTTTAAAAATGAATTTATGTTTAAATACTTTCATCAGAGTAGTGCAATGTTACCATAGTAGCATTGTACGACTCTAGGGGGTGATCAGGGATTTTTTTTATTTTTTTTTTGTACACTTTGCAACAGCAATATTGATTATTTCTCCTGCAATGCAGTGCTTGCTTTGAGCTGTCATGAATGGGTTAAGTTCATGACGGTTCAAAATACTAGTGATCTGTGACTGGCTACAGCTGATCACATAGTACAGGGTGCTGTGATTGGCCCATGTACCATGTGAGAGCTGTGGGCCAATCGCAGAGTGGTTATGAATCAGTATGATTCATACACAGCTTTCCTAGCATTGTGATAACCACCAGGTCCCATTTACTGGGATCTGCATTCCGGGGGGGGGGGGAGGGGGGCGCATCCTGTGTTGGTACAGCCAGAGCAGCGTACCGGTATGCAGCTTGGTTGTAGCTGCTGCCTGTCCACAGTAAAAGTACTGCTGGCGGTCGGTAAGTGGTTAAAGGTAGGTCATCAGGCAACGTGTCTATTTACAATTTCTACATACCATTACAAACATAATGTGAAGCTTAATGGGTAAGCAATATTTTTTTTTCTTCTCCCAAATATAATGGAACTCTGATCAGCCTAACCATGACCATTAGGTTGCCATGAAGCAAATCATATCAGCTTTCAGTATTCCTAATCGGTTTCAAAGATGTTTGTGCAGATGCATACTTGTTTGTGCGGTAACGTATAACAAACTTATAAGTACCTTTTTAATTTTACTGGTTCAACTACTTCATTTTTAGTCTGACACATTCATTTATATACTCTGTGATATAGAAACCTTGTAAAATGTATAATTCACACACTAGGTATAATTTTAAAGTTTAAAGCATAAAAGATGATGCTTGTCGTTTTAAAGTTTCATTTTTTCCCAATCACAGGTGTAGTGCAGGGAATGGTAACTGGTATCCGTGGCTTGTGCAATGGACTGGGACCTGCTCTCTATGGCTTTGTCTTTTACTTGTTCCATGTAGAGCTTAATGAGATGACTGATGTGGAGCCTTCTGACAAGGTCCTTAAACCCAACATGGCCAACCCTTCTGATGAGGTAAGCATGGGCAGCAGTGCAATTTAGGAAGTGTTTTACTGCACATGTAGATTCTTTTAATAATTCGTGCTACAACAGGATGAGCAGTTGACACTAGAAGCCTTTTGTATATTGGCAATTTGCAGCTATTCCAGTGCTTGTGCACAAGTATGTTGTTTCAGACCCTTATATTGATATTGTTGCTCTAGGGGACCTTTAATGAGAAAATATGCTTTTGAATGGATATGGTTTATGATCTACCCTCTCTGTGTCTACAACCTAACAGTTTTTTCCTTTCTTTTCCCATCCACAGAGAAGTATCATCCCTGGCCCACCATTCTTGTTTGGGGCCTGCTCTGTTTTGCTGTCTTTGCTGGTGGCACTCTTTATCCCGGAACATACCAGCCTTACACTACGCTCTGGTGCTCATAAGAAGCATAACAATGGTGCTCAGAGCCATGCACTTTTGCCCCCAGCTCACCTCCCAGAGGGCAAGGAACCACTGCTCGATGATAGTAGTGTATGACCAAAACACTGTACATGGGCATCCGAGCTATTGGTCTGGCAACATCATGACAACTTTGTCAAACACTGTGGGGAAACCTTGATTGCAGGAGCAGATGCAGCAGGGGCCAAATGGCAGTGAAAAGGACTGTGACTGTGTCATTTATTACCCCAGTTCAAGGGTTAGATAGAGCAAAAAGCTCTTTACAAACAGGTAATAATTAAGTGTGCCACTAAACATGGCAGCAGAGATCACAATAATTGCCTGTTAAGCAGGTGAACTACATGGCTAATTTAATTTGTATAATTCTGGCAGCTGTCTCTAGACAGTGTGTAGGAGTGGGATGTATGTATATTGGAGAATGAAGGAAAGCATAACTATGGAAGAGGCGAAGACATTGGGATATCACTTGCCAAAACAAGACTAGGATCTGCCACATAATCTGCCTCATGGCCTAGCCCTAGATGCAGCACCTGTTGCATTGTGATAAAAAATGTTTTTATTTATATTTAATTTGTTTTTTTAATTATTACCATAGTTGACTGAAAAGGGGGGCCACGCCATGGTCCTGTTGTATGATCTTTTTTAAATTGTGTTAATTTTGCTTTCCCGTCTCTTCTGTACACCACAGTGCAGCCCTGAGAGAGAGTTGGATGAAGTACCCTTGTTGTGGTCTGACAGACTAGCCTCTGACTGTACAGAATTAAAGTTAATTTTTTCCTAGATGCATTTTCCCTTTATTTACCAACCTTTGATATTTTATATTTCAAACAGTGGTGATGCTCATTTGTCATATGTCAGTGGCAAAAATAATTTACAATACAAGTAGTAGACCTGTAGGAGACTTTCACTGAACTTGTCATTTATTGAATGAAAGTAAGTAACCACCTGTCACCAAAAAAGCAGTGTTTATTAAAAACCAATAGAACCTTTTGTTTTGTTAGTCTGGTAAAAATCCTGTGCCTAGCTGCTGTTTGAATAAGACTTGAATGAGACATACCTGCACTGCAGAAGCAATGTCCTATTTCAGTCTATGGGAAAGTAGTGTGCAGGTGTTGGTAGCTTGACATTCAATTTTTATTGGCTGGGCTGCAGATGGTGAGGTTGCAGCCATCGGAGGTGACAAGTAAGTACTTACAGGGGGTGGCATAAGTTAAAATGACAGTATTAAAAAATCAGCTGACAGGCATGGTTTTTAAAACAGAAAAGATCCTATGTCTCCTCTGTCATAAATTACCTCCCTGCCTGTCAGTGGTAATGCGATCAGAGCCGCACAAGCATAGCTCAGACCACATTTATGGCCTGCTCTCTGTGTCGCAGCGAAATGACTTTCGTGTTTGTGCATGGGAATGACATCACTGCAGCCCAGCCATTCAAGCAGACAAAGTTTCGGAACCCAGAAGAAAGACCAAGTTAACTTGGAAGCACCAGGGACCAGGAACAGCCATGAAAGCCCAACGCTGGAGGGCTCCATTGGTAGCCAAGTCTCTCAAAATGTTCTAGTATGTGCTGCATACTAGTACATTATGACCTAAACCTGCAGGGGGGCATATTTTTCTTATCAAGAGACTTTACACCACTATGATGCACTGTGAGTGCCAGGTAGAATTTTGCAGTTTGTGAACTTATCAAAGTACACCTGAAGATCCTGTATGACAATCTAAATAAGAACCAAATCAATGTAATGTTAAAAGCCTTGCCTGATCGACCTGAATCCTCCTTCATTTGAGTCTCACATGCTCCCCCTCCCAGAGAGCTCACAGTGGGAGAATTTCAGCAACAGAAACATTGCTATCAATCCAAAATCAGTTGTCAGGACTTTGTGGCCAGTTTGCTATTTTGACTTGACATTTTGAGGTAAATGCCACACAAAGGGATTGTGAATTGACATTTTCAGTATCACATGTGATATTTAGAAGAAATGTGTCAGGTCAGCCAAATACCACAATCGATCTGGTTTAGTGAATGGAACCCACTGACCCAACTTGTAGCCACCTGCCTACACGTGTCTCATAGTGAAGATCTCCCTTCACTTCCTGTCCCATAGCCAAAACAGGAAGAGAGAGGAAATCCCTCCACAGTGAGGGAATCCCAAGGTGTCACCAGGGTCTCCAGATATGAATAATGGGTGTCCCCATTTGAAAATTTCTCCTCTCATACTGTTCTGTAGAATCACTTTTGATAATAATGGTAAACAGGACAAATAGGGTGAATCTCACTAAAGGGGGAAAAGACTGCAATAAAAGCAAAAAGTTCTATTTCCTCTCCATTCCATCCAAAGCCCAGAAAATATATTTGCCTTTAGTTGAACTTTAAAGTGGTTGTAAATCCTCTCATATGCACAGTGCAGTGAATAGCCTCAGCTGATACACAGATGAAACAAATCCTCCTACATAAGTGTTACTTGTTTATCTGTGGTCTTCTCCTTTCTACATCCCTACTGAAGTGCTAAATGTAGATAGCATACTTCTGCATCTGTCAGTAGCACAGAAGAGGGGGCAGGGAGCTGCAGTTAGAGCTCTTGTAGTGTGTGAGAGCTAATTGGAGGAAAAGGACACCCCCCCCCCTTCACACACAGCACAGGAACAAACAGGACAGGTTGTGTGCTGAGCTCTCCTCCTCCATCATCAATTTATCTCTGGTGTCAAAGATAACCAGAGAGAATGACAGAGTAAACACTACAGGCACAGTATATTGCCAAAAGTATTGGAATGCCTGCCTTTACATGCACATGCACTTTATTGGCACCCGAGTCTTAGTCCGTAGGGTTCAATATTGAGTTGACCCACATTTTGCAGCTATAACAGCTTCAACTCTTCTGGGACAGCTGTCCATAAGGTTTAGGAGTGTGTCTATGGGAATGTTTCACCATTCTTCCAGAAGCACATTTGTGAAGTCAGGCACTGATGTCGAACAAGAACGCCTGACCCGCAGTCTCTGCTCTGAATTCATCCCAAAGGTGTTCTATTGGGTTGGGGTCAGGACTCTGTGCAGGCCAGTCAAGTTCCTCCACCCCAAACTCACTCATCCATGTCTTTATGGACTTTACTTTGTGCACTGGTGCACAGTCATGTTGGAACAGGAAGGGGCCATCCCCAAACTGTTCCCACAAAGTTGAGAACATAAAATTGTCCATAATGTCTTGGTGTGCTGACGCTTAAGAGTTCCCTTCACTGAACTAAGGGACCAAGCCAAACCCCTGAAAAACAACCCCACACCACAGTCCCGCCCTCCAGCAAACTTTGGCACAATGCAGTCAGGCAAGTACCATTCTCCTGGCAACCGCCAAACCCAGACATGTCCATCGGATTGCCAGAAGTGTGATTTGTCACTCCAGAGAACATGTCTCCAGTGCTCTAGAGTCCAGTGGTGGCGTGATTCACACCACTGTATCCGATGCTTTGCATTGCACTTGGTGATGTAAGGCTTGGATGCAGCTGCTCGACCATGGAACCCATAGCATGAAGCTCTCTACGCACTGTTGTGCTAATCTGAAGGCCACACGAAGTTTGGAAGTCTTTAGCTATTGACTCTGCAGACAGGTGCCGACTTCTGCGCACTGTGCGCTTCAGCAAATATTTGTAGAAGCAGTCTGCATGCCTAGGTGCTTGATTTTATACACCTGTGGCCATGGAGATGATTGGAAAACTTGAATCCAATGGTTTGGAGGGGTGCCCCAATACTTTTGAGAATATAGCGTATATGTGCTTTGTTCAGATTTCATGATTGAGGTTTACAACCACTTTAAGGCCAAAAGTTCTTGGATAGTGATAAATGAAAAACTTTCTGCTATCTTGAATGATACCATCAAGTTGTTTGAAAAACCGTGAAACCCTTGGATCACTTATAATTTTGGAGGAAACTGACAAACCTGATGCTTTGAACTTACAGACTGACAAAGTAGATTTTTTTAATGTTTTCTTTCCTAACTTTCTCCTTCTACCATTCAAGGTTTCACATATGTGTTGAACACTGGATTATTAATACAGAAAGGGTGCGTCCATATACTGTATGTACTGCTGAATGTGGGGAACTTTCCCCTGATGAGAACTTTGGTTACTAGCATATCCCATGTAAACAGCAATTGAATTGCTGAGTATGTAAGGATGCAACACTGTGAACCGAAGTTTACTGCCATGGTTATAGGGTATTTTTTAAATTGGAAACCAATACAAATCACTGAAAATATCAGCTACTTCTTTGTTTCATCTTTTATTGAGCTATTAATGTTTATCTTGTTCTTTTTGCTGGATTTATGCTTTAACCACTTGAGCTCCTGAGGATTTACCCCCCTTAATGACCAGGCCTTTTTTTGTTGTTTGGCGCTGCACTAATTCAAATGATAATTGCGCGGTCATGTAATGCTGTACCCAAACGAAATTTACGTCCTTTTTTTCACACAAATAGAGCTTTCTTTTGATGGTATTTTATTATCTGTGCGCTTTTTTATTTTTTGCGCTATAAACAAAAAAAAAAAAAAACGAAAATTTTGAAAAAATTTTCTACTTTCAGCTATAAAAAATATATCGTAAACTCAAAGTTAGTCATAAATTTAAGCCAAAATGTATTCTGCTACATGTTTTTTTGGTAAAACAAATCCCGTGCATTAGCGGGAAAACTGGCGCTATATGGGAGGGGCGCTAACACTATCGGAAGTCACCAGTGACACTAATACAGTGATCAGTAAAAATCTGTTCACTGTAATCATGATGACACTGGTGACAGGGCAGTGAAGGGGTTAACTGGGGGGGGGGGGGGGGGGCGATCAAGGGGTTAAATGGGATTACTGGTGTACTGGCGGGCAAACTGGCGCTATCTGGGAGGGGCGCTAACACTATTGGAAGTCGCCAGCGACACTGATACAGTGATCAGTAAAAATCTGTTCACTGATCAGTGACACTGGTGACAGGGCACTGAAGGGGTTAACTGGGGGGGATTAAGGGGGTTAAACGGGATTACTGGTGTACTGGCGGGCAAAATTGGTGCTATCTGGGAGGGGCGCTAACACTATCGGAAGTCGC